CTTTTCTTGTGTGGCGGCAAAGGGATGGCCGTTGCGATCAGATTCTTGTACATTTCGGACCTGAGGAACCTCGGGTAACAATCCTTCTTTAAGAGAAGAACGTAGACATGCTCTGAAGCCAAGTCATAGGTGTAACGAGTCGGCTGCTTCATCAGCAACTGCGTCTTCTCCATGGTCTTCCCGTCAATGTTGATCTCGCACGGCGCCCCGGGTTTCAGGAACTCCCTGTTGGAAGAGGCACGTATATCAGGTTTAGGGACTGAGTGCTGATCGGATACGTTCAGTTAGTTATGAAGGTCATTCTATTCTACAATAATATCTATATCAAAACATATCAAGGAGTGATATACACAGTTTTCAAATATAGTTAATATTATGCCGAGATGCTTCTGTATAAATCAGAAGAATTGCAAAATAGGGGGAATGTTAGTGTATTATATACCAGGACGACAGCAATGAGTACAAATATAATGCTGTTTTAGTATTTCACATTTTTCACGAATATTCATTATGCAATCGTCAAATTTCATAAAAAAAAAAAAAACGTCTCTTCATGCATAGAATCATGAATATATAGAACTTCTTGTTCTTGTAAGAGTATTTATATGTGTGTGCTCTGTGAGAGTGCACGTGCGTTTGCATGTGTACCTGAATGTGTGTAAACATGAGTACACTTCTACACATGAGATTATGTACAGTGCATAGACGGTAACACTTACTCGTATATACTTTGGACCTTCTCAGCCACATCAGAAGCAGGACCCCATCTTAACTCGTTGACAGCGTCCCAGAAGCGGATGTTCTCATGGCAGTATTCCTTCCGCAAGTAATTTGTGAATTCCTCTTTGCCTGTTGGTACATTAGGTGCACAGTTTCTTACATAAATTTGATTTTATGAGTTCGTATTATGGATAGACTATGTTTTACAGTATATAGTGAAGGGTAAGTTATACAGAAATCTAGGGATGTTGATCAGCAACTAGAATCTGTATATTTTAGCTGAATTCATTAGCATGGAGGTGCTCATTAATGTGTAAAAAAATTCCTGTCCTCATCAAGATAAGCTTTGATATACTGGATATTTGGTGAAAGCATAACATTATCATATTACATTACACATTTAGGATATAACACGATTATATCTCCTAGGACAGCAGTTGAGAGAGAGAGAGAGAGAGAGAGAGAGAGAGAGAGAGAGAGAGAGAGAGAGAGAGAGAAGAGAGAGAGAGAGAGAGAGAGAGAGAGAGAGAGAGAGAGAGAGAGAGAGAGAGAATCACATAGACATGTATTCCTCTACCATCCAGCGTAGAGGAATTGTCACTGTTATATGGCGATGACAATTTCCGAATTTTGAATATTACACCGCTACACTAGTTTGGTTTGATGGTTTATTCACCGCACTAGCTATCTAAACTAGTTTGCGCTGGATAGTGAAACGTTAGAACCTGAGACCTAATCGACCCTATCTCTTCCCCTCTTTTACAATAGCAAATGGAAACTGAAATACTTTTTGGTTCATGATTGAAAAGATAATGTGTCTACTAAATCACGAAACGCAAAATTATAATAATAATAATAGTATTAATAAATAAAAAATGATAAAAAATAAAAGATAATAAATAAATAAATGAAACAAGTAAATCTTATAAAAAAGAAAAGCAAAAAGAAGAGAAGGAAAATACCTGCCCCTCCCCCTCCCCCTGCCCCCTCCACACACACCCACAACTGCTCTTATCTCACCTGTGGGATCACTGAGCAATTCCTCCATAGATATAGCCCATCTTCGCACTCGTTTCTCAGTCAGGGTATCCACTCTGAAAGAATAATCATCATAATATTGAGAGGAATAAAAATTGCCAAAGGCGCTGAAACCTGATAATGAAATGAAAATATGTATTGTTGTTACTTTTATCATTTTTTGCCTGATTTGATTTAATTGTATATACATTTCTCTCAAAGTAATTTCCGACATCTGAAAATAATTCCAGTATGGATTGAACATTCTTTGCAATATTTCGTCACAATATATGATATACAGGACGATAGGCAAAGTCTCTTCTGTGAGGTAACATGATGATAATAACTTTCAATGGCAGTCATAATGATGACACGGGTGAGGAGAAAAATACAACAATTATCATTGAGAGGATAACTTTGATAATGTTTATGATGCCAATGAGAAAAAATACTAATCATAATGATGACACTGCTAATGATAAGGATATTAATCATTGCTGTGTTATCATGGTGACAAAAATGTTGATTGTGACATGACGACAATGGTAGTGATTATGAGGATTGGTGATAACACGATAATGATTGTGCAATGTAGATAAGGATCATGACGGTGAAGATTATCATTATGACATGATGAATAGGATGATAATGATGATGATAGTGACGATAACAATGGCAACGATGACGACGGCGGCAATGACGATGATGGCGAAATGACAAGACGTCGAGGTACTCACTTGGGGCTGTTTAGTATCCAGTACAC